ATATGGCTTTCCATTCGTTTCATTTCTTTCTTCTTCGTTCGATGGTTGCATCCCTTTGGAAATTTTCGTGTTTGACTCAATTGGAGTTGATACTGTTTTCGCATCTTGCGATATTAAATTTAGTTACTAGTTCTTTCGTATTGTATTTTTCTTGTGAAAGTCTAATACTACCTGTTAGTTCATTCCTTTCAACTTTTATTCCTAGAATTTCTTTTATTGGTCCCAGGTCTGTCATTTCAAATTCTGTTCGTTACCGCTCTCCTCGGTGACAATTCAAACAATGTTTGAAGTGAGTCCCTTTCGTTTCAGCGCCAACGGTACCAATCGAGAGCAAATTTTAGAAGCACGTCAATGTCAATTCTGTGCAAAACTTCTTATTGTCTAGCTCTGATTTAGATTTGTTAACGTAAGTAAGTTTCAAACGGAGAAATGATGAACCACATTTCACTCGTGTGTTCAGGTACCGTGTCTGGACGACATGAGCGCTGGGAATTCGACAGCGGAGCACGCGATCTTTCACCGGAACCCCATACTCTGCAGAAACTAGTGGAAGCTGCCGCTGGGGGAACCGGGAACATGCTGGACCTTGCAAACAAGGTGAGTCTACGCGATTAAAATCACGCTCTTATCTATCCGATAGCGTTTCGAATAGAAACGTTCGAGATCGTTTCATCGAGTTCGGAATCCCATTCATCGGCAACTTTGATGTAAAATTATTCCGCCCGAGGCTTACGGTTTGCTTTGACGAATCGTCATATCGTTCTAACGAATATAATATCTGGAGCATGATGTAGCTACTCCCGCACGAGTCTAGTGATTCGCGTGAAAGTCATTCAAATACAGAATGTTCCTGTAATCGTAGCACGAGATCGCATGATTTCGTTCTCGAGAAAGTCGAGATTGAGAATTCGTCGAACATACTTGAGTTCTCTTAAATATATATGAGAAACTTAACAATTCACTGCGATTTACGTGTGGAAAATACCTTAATACGATTCAAAGTAATTTACGCTTGATTTCTTCAATTACAAGGACAAAATGGTATCAAATTTTATCATAAAGTATAATAATTTTTATACACATTTCAATTAATTAGAAAAGTGATTTAATACTTGATCTTTTTTCAACTAATTACAAAGGCAAAAGTGGTGTCGAGTTTTGCCATCAAGTATCATTCCTCTCCACACATATTTCTGTTATTTCTGACAGATTTCAAATAATAATAAAGCATTTGACCATGGCCTAATTTTGATACACTTCTCTAGCACTCTCCGTCGAGAGTGAAACGCGCGAAACCGAAAGGGAAGATTTCAAAAGAGCTGCAACTGTGGCTCGAAACTTCCAAGTGCAAATTACTGTTACCTCGGCGTATGACCGAACAAATGAGTTTCCCTTGCCAGAAAAACGCTGCTGCTTTCAGTTTCTTCCTTCGTGTCCTTCTATTCTACGTATACCTTTGTCCCTAATCGACCAGTTGATACGTTCTTTACTTCGATATCAAGAAATTTCCCAGTAATCTCCTCGCCAAGGTGCAATTAACGCGCCACTTGAACGCAGTCCACAATTATATATAAACGACAGATTGTTCGATCCTCGTTAGGTGTCTTCTTATCTCTTTGGTATAAGTTTGGCGAGTATCTCGACTTGTTAAAATTGCTCCAGTTTCGAAGGGAATCGATAACCCGGACGCCATAGCGCAGACGTTCGTTTACCAGTGCCACGTGATCATTCTACTTCCTTCTAGTTGTTTTTCATTCAAACTTCGTATATCGTTCATACTTGACATGGCAAATATCGAAGGAAATTATAAAAAGAAAACAAAACTAAATTAAATTGAATTATACTGTATTATAATATATGTTAGATTATATCGTATCAAATTGCAAAATTGCTGGTTGTGGTGAATGATCAAAATAATACTCGTTTCAATTTGGAAACGTGCCGTAAAAGCAACTTGTAAGGGAATACGATTTTCGGAGAGATTGAGGTCATCTCCCGGTATATAAATTATTTCAGAACGATCCATGAAGAAGCCACGGTTTCGATCTTTTTATATACAATTCTCAATCGACGAAGCTTCATTCTCGGAGTTTTACAAATCGACGTTTCGCACGTTTCAACGTCCGGAAATGCATCGTCCCCAAGAAATCGAATATCTGAATGTGCCTTCGCGATTGAAGAACACGAGTTTCTTTTTCGTTACTCGCGGGGGTAACAAAAGCTGGCCGAATTCCAAGACTTGGTGAGGAATTATCGCGAGTCGTCGCGATCGCGTAGAAAGGGAACGATGAACTGGCGGAGGGGAATGGCACACGGCATTTACTGCCTATAAATAACCGTTATTACATTACCGCGCCGAAAAAGAGCGAGAAGGCAAGAGAGAGCAAACGTTTAGCCAGCCACGTAGCGAGCGGAGGTGAGACCGCGAGACCCGAGGCAAAGCAAACCTGAAGTATACGTACTTCGCCGACGAAGAAAGGGATTTCTCTCGGCCGGGCGAGTCGATGGAATAAGGCTAGAAACTCAGCCAACCTCTAACAATTGCCCTACGGGTTTTTCAACTCCCTCGAAAACAGGCCCAGACCTCCAGGATCGCCTTTAGGAGTTTCGGTTCTCCGTGACGCATTGTTCAGCGCAGTGTTTGTCTCTCGATGATGTCGCCAAAGGCGGAAGCTTTGAGATTTGGTACTTAACTGTTAACCCTTTGGCTACGGTGGACTTTTCAATCGCGAACTTACACTCGCTACGAGAACAGCGAAATTCCTCGTCAGCGTACATTTCTCAGAAAGTGTACAACGAAACAATCAAAACACTACATTAAACCAATATTACTTGTTTATTCGTAGTATTCTGCATTGAATTGTTAGTGCACGTTACTAAAAATTTGTAATATAATATAAATTAAATATAAGCTTTAGAATAAGCTTTATTTAGATTATAATATAAATTATTATAGTCTAGTAAAGTATGGTACAATTCGAAACGTGGATCAATACATAATCCTGCATCACATTTCTTGCATTCGTAATGTGTCTTTCTGTGATTAATTTATAACCACAACTCTTCGTTTTAAGGGTATTGAATTAAGTAACTTAATGTTAAATAATTAATAATCACGTTTAAATGATATATGACTAGCGGAAAATGTAATTATTGATTTAGAATTCACTCACGTCTGATCTAACATTTTTTTTTTTTTTTTTGTTGCAATTATCGTCAATAACATTTGCCGAGCGAAACAGAAATAAGTTGAGCGCCAACAGGTTAAAGAATTCGCACAGCTGAAACGTAAAGATGAAAACAGCAAAATTTGAGAGGGAAGGTATCATTACTCGTTTCAAAATGGTGTAACAGCATTGTAAGTATTGTAAAAGTAGAAGCTTTAGAATGAAATCAACTCGATTCTTTTTCCATGAAATTATGGCAGTTTAAAATATCGACAATTTCTCACACTGTGAAAAAAATATCTCACAAAGATTAGAAAAAAATATTTAGATGATATTAGAATAGTATTATAGTTACGTTATTGCGTATTATTATACGACAATTTCTTACAACCTGAGAACGAAATGTATATTTCGCAGAAATTATAGAAATATTTAAACAAGGTCAAGTAATAATAGGATGATATTACAACAGTAATTACAAGTAGTATCTGTTCAAAACGTGAAATACAGGTACAGAATCGTTTTTCACCTGACAGATATTATAATTTTTCGCTGTTGAATTTCGCACAAAAAAATTCGCAGTCTAATTACCTGTGCCTTATCAACACGAGCGTGCGTTCTTTTCTTTCTACGTTTCTACACGTCCTCGCTGTTACTGTTGCAATATTTCGTCTCCAGAAAAACGGACCTAGTTAAACTTCCTCCACGGTACAAAGAATTTAATTAGAAGATAAGCGAATCCTGAAAAGCTAGACCACGAACGCTTCGGAACAACCGTGAAGTCGTTGTTTTCTGCGGGTTTGAGAGCCGGAAGTACGGTCTTGCCGACGTAGAGTAGACGTTCACGCGGCTAGTTTGGATTATCTTTCCGTTATCTCCTCTCGCCAGGAATTTGCACGATTACGCAAGCGTGAGACAAGCTTCTTCTTTCAGTCATGGATAAAATCGTCCGTCCTCTTTTGTCGCGGAGGAACGCGAATTTTCCACGACTGTTCGCGCGCACGTGGATAGCGGTTGTCTATCGGCATAACTGATCTCTTGTTACCGAGCCGGAATTTCCATGGAAATAGAACTGCACGGCCGCAGAAATGTCCACGTTGTCGGATAAACGTAACGCTGTCGTTAAATCCATTCCCTATCTGGTGGAGATTGTACGATCGCGCGCGGAAATGCGTGACAATGCGATCGAAATCCTGGCGGAAATTAATTCGCGCGCTCGCCACCTCCGGGCAATCCAGTCGCCAGCATACTAATTTCAGTTAACTGAATGAAGAAATAGAAACTAGTTTCGTATGAATCGTTATATAAATTTTACTTCGTCAACGTCGAGGTTTTCTGAAATGTGAGTATAGTTTCAATGACGTTTACGTGTGTTATACATGTATATTATATCATTATATACATATATATTACACGTACGGGCACTTCTAACTTGAACATTGTGTGGCGAAATCTTATCATACTCGATTATAAAAAAATAAATAACTAAAGACAGATGTCAATTTAAAATTCAAAATATAATGCAAAATATAATCAACACGTGATAACGTATGTTTCGTCCCAATGTAAAATATACGTACATAATTTTTTCGAAAGTGATGACTACATTATTTTCACCAAAATTTGACGCGTACTCTCTTATCTATCAGAGACATGTATGAAATTCTACATTCTAAACTTATCTTCTGATAATGGGGAAGTGTATTGATTGACAAAGAATAAATAATTACAGACAGACTTTAAAGAATTTGAAGTCAAAGTATAATGCAAGATCAAATATTGAAGTTTAGTTGGTAATATATCTCCCTCTATAAAATATACATATTTTTTTTGAAAATGATAACTATATTATTTTGATCGAGATCTGTCTACCAGAGATATGTATTAAACCCTACGTATAATAACACTCACTATCTTCTGTCACTGAAAAATATATTGATCGTAAGATAAATAAATAAACGCCACGTTTCATACACGAAGATCTTCATCATCGTGGTATCTTGCTCTACTAATTCCTACATCGTTGCAAACCGCACGATATCTGCCTCATGAAAGTTTGAAGTCGGTGCTTGTTGCCGCTTAAGACACAAATATATATATAGGGTTGCGGAAAACTATCCAGAGAATCTGCAACGCGTGTTGAAGATATATTTGCCAGGAAGGTCGTTCAACCGGAGTTCACCAACGTTTATCCTGGACCTGCCGATAGCACATTTTGGCACGCTGGTATCGATTTTATGTAAATCGTCGACGCTACGTTGATAACTACCAGTTAATGGAATATCGTTGAAGCTGTTCCCGTGTTAAAAGTACTTGAAACAAATGGACACCATTTCGTGATTTTTCTGTACTAAACAAATACTACGTAACGTGAAAGTGATTCACGTTACGACAGTTCAAGAACGATGTAGTCGTCGTTCTTAAATACATATTTTTCGCCCGACCATTTCTAACTTTCAACCACGCTGTGGATAATGTGAAGTGTATATAGATGAAGAATGTAGAATTAAGACTGTAGACTGCATTAGCGAAATTGATGGAAGTCTGTCTCTGATGTTAACAGACATTGTTTGCATCGCAATTTTAATTACATGTTGATCAAAACATGTATTATATTACATACATCCAATTTAAATATTCTTTATCAATAAAGGATACAAACTTAGATTTGAATATTTGACAAAAAATCATCGGAACTTCTAAAAATATATACATACATGTACATAATATATAACATATTATAATTAATTATCTATATATATATATATATATATATATATAAAATTTCTATAAGAATTATAAATTAAATTTTAGACAACACAGATTTAACAATCTAGTATTAATACTTACATTTAATCAGTCACTGTCCGTGATGCAAATGAGTTAACAGACAAATCAAAAATTGACGATTCTCTTCTCACGTATTTCAGTACGTGAATGTCCCGTTTATAGATTCTAGTGCCTCGAATTATAGATGTAGCAGCACAGGTTTCATTCTTTTCCGGATTCTATTCGAGGAGCACGACACTGTTCGTCACAGTCTTCATTCATGTGGCAATATTGCAGACTCGGTTCTCCAGGCAGACAGGCAGACAGACAGACAGACAGGCAGGCAGGCAAGCAGACCTCGCCCGTAGCGAAACTTGCGGTAAACTACGAAATGCACTTTGCCGTCTTGGCGCTAACAAACGACTTGGAAGTCCTTGCAGTTCCCTCAGCCGAGCTTTAACTCCCGGCTAAATCTCCGACCGCTCTTTTCCTTCTGGCGTATTCCACGCGCAACCGAAGTTTCGCCACCGGTGGAAAAGCCACGACATCGCGGGATCGATATCTCGGAGAACTGCTCCGCGAGATCTTATCCCCGAAGACGCTTTGTCGCCGAACCTCTCGCTCCATTCTTTAGGGATTTTCTTTGATGTAAAGTCGGGAAACCCTCTCGACTGACCTATTTCCGCCACGTTTTGCCGATTTCTCCACCGTCAGCCTTTGCCACGTCGCTTCTGTGTTTCTCAGCTCGAATTTTCGCTCCTCAGCTCCACGTGATCGATCAGGATACATATATAGCAACACGGTAAGTGTTCTGGACAGCGGAGATGAATTCGAAACGTGAGGTCTCAGCTTGAGTTCAATTTGAAAGGTGTACGTACAGTGGGTGATGAATTTCAAATAATCGTTTATACAGTTATTATTTGTTAAATAATAATTTAATATAATTATTGCTTGTTAAATAATATTTTTTTTTATATTAAGAAAGTGTAGAATATACGTATCATAAAACATCCACTGTAGATGTAGACCGATGTTTGGACGATATAATCTTCGCCACTTTTACATCTGCAAAATCTGTCTTCAAATATTCGCTTAGGAATAACTATTCCGTGGAGATGTTCATGGATCACGTGACAGATTCCCACTGCCATCGGATGGCTCCATTTAGCAATTAAAACCTAATCCAAACTTGATCCGAACGCAATCTAGACACGATTAAAACAAATCAAACTCGACACGAATGTAATCTGTCTCTCATCATTCGCCAGTGTCTCTATCGGCACGATTATGCTATTTTTAATGTACGTTAAAACGTTCATTCCACTAACTCAGTTCCGTTATTTAACAGTAAACTACGTTCTTTTACTGCCGTCGTGAAGTTTATTAAATTACCTGGTTCTTTCCCCCAGAAAATTTCCATTATGCCGACTATGTTTCTAGATGAAAAAACAAATCCTCCGCACATGATCTTATTAAATGGACTGTATAGCGTGTACTATATACCGTAGCTGGATCTCGAGGGAGGTACTTGGCAACATTTTTCGTGTTCTTGTTCAACATGGCCGGCCGGTGCACAGTTACAAGAGTATATGTATGTGAACTATGCGGCCCCTCCGTATGATGCGAGATAAACCGAACATGGCTTATTACAGATACGACAGATTGAATTAAGCAGCGCGATTATGGTATGCTTTGTGCCTGTTATCGCTGGTCCACGATACATGGAATGGGGCAAGGATTTGACCAGGAACAATAGCTTATCGAACGTGTAATCTTATATCGTACGGGTATCGTCCCAGCAACTGCTGATAACTTTCATGAAAACGCTATTCGGGTCATTGATCGATAACTCTTCCCCGGGAGTGGTATCCCCCTGTTGTCTTTCCATAGGGAGAAATCTCGATGTCGTTCGTGCCTCTTGTCGCGAACAATCGCGTCGTTCTTACGGCCAAGCTCGACTATCGAAACTTCCTCCGACTTGTTCGCGAAATGTCCTCCCTCCCACTCGCCCGAATTTTCTTTCCATGTTTCGTGTCAAACTCAGTCTTCTGACATGAGTTCCAAAGCAAGCACTCTGACTCTTAAATCCTGTTGCATTCCTTTGAATTGATTCTTTGCACTCGATTGTCCCGTTCGAGAGGACATCCTGCACTTTAATCTAGCTAACAGCTCGAACTTCCACTTTTTATAATTTGCTGATCATTATTATATACGTGTTTTAAAGTTTACCCCATAAATTTTTTATATAACAAATTTAAATTAATGAAATTGTTGAATTAAATATTTATTATATATAAAGTAAATTCATTTTTTAAGAAAGTAGACATAAATAAATACGATAAACGTTTAATTTTTTATTTCACAAGAAAAGAGATACATATATAGTAGGAGAAATGTTTAGGGAAATGTTTTGAGTCTTATCACGTGAAAGAAAATTATTAAATACACTTTTGTTATTATTTCTTTTAATTTTTTTGGTACACAAGTCTTTAGAACCTCTTCGTGATA